TTGACTACCGTTTATTAGGTTTCAGTGGCTAAATATTCAGAAGTAGTTCACCTTTCCTTTTTCTGGTCTGCAAACTCAGTTGAAACCTCTCCACCATGGGTGTACCCTGCTGGTATTTAAAATATCAGTGGCAGAACTTTCAGCCTCACAGCAACATGCAAGCCACTACCATACAACAAAGTAGCAGAAGAATGGTGGAAATGTTACAGTTAGAGATAAGTTTATTTTTGTTAGAGCTTCCTTCTGTGTCCTAGACCTTTTGGCATCTGCTTGAATGGCAACATACAAGAAAATAAGAAGAACTGTCTATGAAGTCGGAGTATCTGAATCAAGTTTTGGGTCTAACAATTTCTAGCCAGGCAACTGCAAGTAATTTATTTAAACTCTATGTGCCTAAATTTTCTCATTTGTAAAATGAGAATACAGGAACAATACTTAATATTTGAGTTGTTATAAGCACTAATTTTGTTTTTAATAGTCTCAAAGCATTAGAATGACATTCTAGCACATAGTTAGCACTGTGTAAGGATTCAATAAGTAGAAATAATATTTGTTCAAATTTTCGCAATTCCACACAAAATTTAAGAATAACCCTCAAAGTCATATTACCTTAAATTTTTCATATGCATTTGACAAGACATTAAATTGCTTATTTTTAGAAAGTTGATAGCAAAATGTGAACTTCTATAAGAAATAGTAGTGCTTGAATTGCTCAGGTTTCTCTATGTTTATAATTTTCATATGGATATATTTTAAAACAGAGATATATCAAAGGAAGTATTATCTTAATAATATAGGAAAACAACAAGAACAACAAACAAGACCTATGGAATAAAAAGATTTTGTTTGGAATCCCAGTATCTCCATTTAGGACACGACTGATTTTTAGACAATAAATGTACCTCTTCTTTCGAAAAAAAGTTAAGAAAGCAAAACCTGCCATGTCCTAAACATGTGGTATTTGCATGATCCTGAGTCCTTAACAGGCATGCATAATCCACCAAGAACAGCTTTGAAATCGGTGCCTATGATTTAATGATGAAATTCAGAAATAAGATAAAAATCAGCAAAAAAAAAAAAAAAAAAGGGGGCCAAGCAAAAGGAAAAATAATTAACTTAAATGTCTAGCATTCTTCTAGTAATTAATAGGGAGACAACAAACAGAATCTGTAAAGAATATAGACTGGGGAAGCAGATCACATGTTACTGCCAAGTTAGCACAAATTCAAAATACATTTTATATCCTTTTTTTAATGATTGCATTTGTCCATCTGGATAATTTTTTTATATTCCTTATAATATTTAAGAATAACCCTAGTATCCATCCAAATATATTGAAAGTGAATTAAAACAAATGTCCTCATTCTATTATCATTTTAGTTTCTTCTGGCAGTGGAGATTTTCTCATAGAGAAACACATGACTTTTGAGAACCTGTTCTGTACTGGCTTCTGATCTACATGTTGAGGTTAAGCCATTACCTTGGGAAAACAAAAGTCTTGCCATTAGGGAGAATATCTTCACATTCAAAAACAGCAAAGGAAATAGATTAAATATTTTGTGATATTAAGTGTTGTAGAAAAAATAATAAAACAGGAAAAAGTTTATATATTTGAAAGGTAGGTATCTACAATTTTAATGATGAGATAATGAGAAGTTGTTTCTTATTAGAAATAGTCTCCATGGCAATTGGACAAGGAGCTGCATATTTTAAATAAAATTTCTAAAAGGTGCTTTCTTTATGCAAATATATGTACATATAAATTTTCATTTATATCTTCTTTTATTTGCTATATCCAACACAACTCTGCCACATAGACTACTATTTAAGACAGATTTTTTACATCATAGGTGCTCATTGCATATTTGAGTAATGAACATTACAATAGTAAACTCATCAAGATCCAATCAAGTGTCTTTTTGAAGAAAATGTACAGAAAGGGCTTTGATTCAGGTAGAATGATTAAACTGTAAAATACAAATAGAAATTTCAGCATAAATATGTATTTTCACTTAATATGTCTCAAATAAGATTACTTTACCATTAAATCATAATCATATATATATTTTTAAGCAAATTGAAAAAAACCAGCAACTAGGCCAATAATATCAAAATGACTGAGGGATTAAAAACATTTAACATCTATGCTGTCCTATACATTCTGTTATTATGACCTAATAAAAGGCTGATTGTTATTGTTAATTGCTGTCAGGTCGATTCCAACTAGCGATCCTGTTCCAAGGAGTGGCTGGTGAGCTTGTACTGCTTGCCGAATTTGAGGTTCAAACTGACCTTGCAGTCCAGCTCAGTAACCCTCACTGCCATACCAGAACTCCACAAATGGCTGATAATGCTCCTCTTTTAGTAGGTAAGTAAACTGAAATTGCTGTTTTTAAGTACCTTCAAGTAGGCTCCCACCCATAGTGACTGTGTATATGGTTTCTAAGGAGCGCCTGTGAGTTCAAACCGACCTTGTGGGCTAATGTTTATCCTACAGTGCCACTTCAGGACTTCTCCATATAGTTTGTTGTTGTTAAATGCTGTCGAGTCAGTTCAGATCCATAGCAACCCTGTACAGGGTTTCTGTGGAGTGACTGGTAAGCTAGAACCTCTGACCTTATTGATCAAACAGATTTTGCAGTCCAATGCATTAACTGAGATTAGAAGAAATTATAGATCTTGTCCCATACGTGCTAATATGTGGCAGATTTGAGATTTGAGTTCAGTTCTATAGGACTCCTAAAATCTATTATACTTTTCAGATGCTTTGTTTAATGGAAATGGTTGAGTTAAATTCCATAAAGATTACTGAGTTTACAGTAAAATGGTATTTGCAATGTATCGTCAATGATTCCTGTCAAATGCATTTAAAATAGTAATTATTTTTGTCAAGTGCCATTGAGTTGGTTCTGACTGATAATGATGCTGTATAATGTTTCAGAGGAGTTTCTGGTGGATTTGAACTTCAGACTTTGTGGTTAACTCTCAGTACTTATCCTATAACATCACACCAAGAATCCAAAATATTAACTAGGGAGCAGCATAGTATAATGTATGTTCTGAATTCCCTGATTTCTAATTAAGTTTCTTGAGCAACACACTTGTCTGAGTGTAAAAGGTACACACATTAACAGAAAACTATAGTATGGTGTACCAATAGCAAAAGGAAGCCCATGGAGCTAATAATAGTAGCCCAGGCTTGTCCAGGAATCCTCTGTTGTTGTTATTGTTGTTGTTGTTAAGTGCCGTCAAGTCAGTTTCGACCCATAGCGACCCAGGAATCCTCTACTGACAGGAAATGTGGACAGAGACAATCCTTCCCTCAGAGAACACAGCTGTAGAGGAATGAGCACATAGAAAGCAATAACATGTGCATGCCCTCATTTCATTTGCCTACCTCTGTGGCTTAATGCAACAGACTGCAAAGCCATCTGATCTGCAAGGTCGGCAGTTCAAGCTCACCAGATGCTCTTTGGAAACCCTATACAGGGTTACTATGAGTCAGAATCTACTTGACAACACTTAACAACAACAAATCTATCCTCACTTTTCCTGGTTTTGTCAATTTGCAACTGGAATTGCTTGCTTAAACAACAGCAAGTGGAAAAAGACTGGGAAAACGAAAGGAAAAAAGAAATCCATTCTGTTGTCCTCAAGTAAAACCATAGTGATTCTGACCCGGTATAAGATAGTCTCTACTGGAGGCGTTCTGCTCCCGTAAAGATTTACAGCCTCGGAAACCCTGTACAGGGTCGCTATGGGTCCGAACCGACTCGACGGCACTAAACAACAACAACTGGGGATACAGAATATGCAGAATGGTGGGTTTGCTGACCCAAGACTGTTCAACAAATGGCCCTGATGACAAACAGCTGGGCATCAACTTCACACCAGAAACCATAGCTTCCTAAGAGCCATGAAGTCAATATAGTACACCTTTGGAGAGGTGATACAGTTCCACGAAAGACAGGGATGAGATCAAGTAAAGGACGTCCTGTGGAGTGGGAACTCGTAATGATCATCACAGTCAATGAGTTAACATTTCAGTAATGTTCCATTTTAGGAGGCTGTATATGTATGGGATAGGACCTTTATCAAAGTCAACCTACACATTTTTGATATAATCAATTGCATTGTGTGCTAAGTTGTTAAGTGCCATGGCGTTGGTTATAACTCACAGTGACCTTGTATAGGTTTTTCAAGGAGCAGCTGGTAAGCTTGAACCAACAAACTTTCAGTTCAAAGTGACTTTGAAGTCCAGTGCATTAATCCATAGCACCACATCACAGTACAATTGATAATATATATATTTATACATATAGTTAGTTTGCTGTTAGGTGCCATCAAGTTGGTACTGACTCATAGTGACCCTTTGTACAACAGAACGAAATACTGCCCGGTCCTGCCTGGGCCAACCTCATAATTGTTATCACGTTTGAGCTCATGGATGCTGCCACTTTGCCAATCCATCTCACTGAGGGTCTTCCTCTTTTTCTATGACCCTACACCTTACCAAACATGATATCCTTTTCCAGTGACTGGTCTCTCTTGACTATATATATATAGTTGTTGTTAACTGCCATTGGGTCACTTCAGAACCATAGCAGTTCAGTGCATTAACACACAGCAGCACACCAGAACTCCACTGGAAATGAGTTGGAACTGATTTGATGGCACTCAACAATTATGAATTGGTTAAATTAGATAATTAGGTCCCAGAGTCTAAACAAGTGAAGTTCACATTCTGGATCCTCTGATTTCAGTTAGGTACTATCTGTTCTATTTGAGACCTTGACTGAATAAATTTGCAATTTTCTGAACAAATTTGCAATTGCACCTGAACTCAATTAAATCTTATAAATGAGTATTATAGGCAACCTGAAATACTGTATGAATCTTATTGATACAGATATATAGCTCAATGAAATGGATGAGAAATTCATAGTTCACATTAGAAAAAGTAGAAATGGCAGATTTTAATAGAAAAGAAAATGTCTTACTTGGTTAAGAATGTCTTGTTTCTGTGCATGCAAGGAAAGAAAGAATACATGTGTTAAAGGAAGATAAGTATACTCAATATCTCATATCCTTGATAATTTAATTAAAATTTCAAGCTTATATGTTGATTTTAAACCTTGGTTTACAAAAAGTGGTTCCAAATCAGAAGTATCTGCATCAATATCAACTGGGAATGGTAAAAATAAATACTATTGAGCCCAGCCTCAGTATCGATGTATCAGAAATTCAGAGTGGGGACAACAACCTATATTTTATAAGCCCTCCAGAATACTGTGAAATACATTAGAATGTAAGAAATATGGACTAGGTTAATATTTGATTAAAATAAGTAAATAGCTTTGAATGACATGAAATAAATATAACTAATAACACATTGAATGGCAGAAAACTTCCAGAGAGAACTGAAAATATAACAATCTCCATAAAGGTATTTGATAGTATAAATACTTATTCCCAATTCCTGGTGTTTCATTTCTTTAGATGAACACACCTCACTCTCTTTGCATGCCTTTACATACCTATATATATACATACACACAGGTATTATTGAACTAATGAAATAATACTAAGTAATGGAACCAACTTGATAGCACTTAACAACAACAACAATATAGAGCATCATCGTTATTTTATTTATTCTTTTTGATTTTCATATCACTGGAACAATTTTTATTAAAATTATAAGTCTGAGTCAATGACATATAAAGCCAATATTCTCATGGTATCACTTATATCTTGACTGTTTTATTTTGAAAACTCTTACTAAGACTAGATCTTACTAAAATGTACTTACACTGTCAGCATATATTTTCCTCATAAGATTAGGTGGAGACTAATAGAAGTACTTTAACCTGCTTGGAGCGAGCCTAATAATTTGTGTGCTTGAATGTGCAACATTCATTTCATAATGTATTAAATTGCCTATGCCTTCCTTTGATTAGTCCTATCTGCCAAAGTCTTTGCTTTCATTTTATGGTCTACTCTATGAAGTAAAGAGGAAAGAGCATCAATTCTAAAGTAGAATTATAAACAACTAGTTTTGTAGTGAATGTCACAAATCTAGCTGATTAATCTTGGGATATTAATTTTTACTTTTCTGGATATGAGGTTTTATTTTACTCATAATTTTATTAATTCAGAACTATCAAGCCCTTTTTCAAATGCTTAATTTTGGAAAATTTCTAAGGTCACAATTTATGATTATATTACTACTCGCTCCTTCAAATAATAATTTCTGAAATATCTTTACAATTGTGCGTAAGAATAAAAGTTTTATATATATATTGCATTTATACTTCTCTATAAAAGTAGACAAAACAATTTCATGTACCTTTACTTGGCTTACTTTTTATACATGACACTTTTAAAATGCAGAAATTCAAGTAAACTAGAAGCAAAATAATTCATGTGTCTACCATTTAAGCAATTTACTTTGTAGTGGAAGAAGCAATTTAATTGATGGATTGTTCTTCCTTTGCAAATAGATTTTATATGGAACAATGTTTATATAGGTGATAAAAACCATTTACGGTTTAGAAAACATTAATTAGTCATTCTAAAGACAGGTTACCTTAATAACGTTTAAATTTTCTTGTCTCTTTGAACATTGTCCATGCTAAATAATTTTAAACACAACTCAACCAGTCTACAGAACACAGTAACTTCATTTTTTTATATGAATCATTTCATGCACTTAGATTAACTCTGTATAAATGGAAAAAAGTCATATATTGAAGAGAATTTCTTGATCTTAACATTGGAAATTCCTAATTATTACATAACGGATATTATAAAATGCCTACTAGTCTTTCAAAAGTAATATCAACTTAAATTTTTCTTGTGAAGAATAAATTCCTATCAGTGTTTAGATTATAACATGGTTTCGCTCTTACAATTAGAAACTATATTTGGGTCACTTTGAGATCTAACTTTTTATTTTTTAACTCTTCATTGTATTAATAATGTGTTTAACCAGAAAATCAGTGCATTTATGAAGTGGCATTAAATTATTGAGAAGGCTAACATCACATGTGTGTTAAACAATTAATCTAATAATTACTTCAATAAATTTAGTAGACAGTGCCTGAAAATGCTCCTCAAAAACCTAATATAAGTAGAATTAAATCCTTAGAGTTGTTTAAATAAGAAATAGTAAGTACAAGATTATTGTTATCTGAATTTATAGCTAGAAGCTATCTTTAGAGAGAAAAAGCTCAGTTTTATCTCCGTGTACAAGGTCTGTGGTTCTAGCCGCTCCTCAGGAGAAAGAGGAGACTTTCTGCTCTGTCAAAGATTTAAAGTTTCAGAAACCCTATATAAGGTTGCTATGAGTTGGAACATTCTCAACAACACTTAGCAACAATAACAACAAATTAGATATTATACAAGTGTTCAAGAATGGTTGGGAATATAAATATTAATGGCATTTTGGGGTCTATAAAATCTCAGTAAAGTTGTCACCTTTACTTTTCTCAGTCTGCTTTCTTAGGCATTAAGGATTTCACTTCTACAAGTTTACCTGAGCACATATTTTTCTCTCATTCTATAGCATCTGGTAACATATAATCTGAAGGAGAAGTAGATCAGACATTTGCTTTTTAACTGATTTACAAAAAATGAATATGGTTTGCAAACAATGTTACTTTCCCTATCATTTACTGGTACTAAAGCTTCATCCTTTTTTAAAAAAGAAAAATCTTAGTAAGATTAAAGTGTTTTCAAATACACAGTTCTTTATTAACATGTGAAGAGAATAAGAAAATATTATATTAAAAATAGATAACCATGAAAAATACTGAAAAAAATGAGAGAACATGCAAAAGTTATAGGACAGGAATTCAGAGATTGGCTTGTGATAACTAAACTATTGCTTTTATAAACAGAGAAATACATCTAAATTGTCCTCTGAGAAACATGCAGAAATACAACAATGATAACAAACAAGACACATTTTAGCAAGCAAATAAATCTTTCTAAGTGGACAGATAAATATATCACGGTAAAACAGTCTTTTATAAAGTACAGTTTGTTTTAACTCTGACACAATCCAAGTATCATTTGGTGATGCTGTAAATGAACTCACAGTAATGGTGTGCAAACATGTAACATATAGCTTCTCTCAGTTAACATTAAATAGAAGGGTATTTAACAAATAATTAGGAAAGGAAAGACATTCATGCAAGCATAGTGTTCCAAAGCAATCGACGGGACATGCAAAGTTTGTAAGGAGAGAATCATAAGGACACAGAAGTTTAGTAATACTATATTAGGCACAGAATAAGGAAAAAATATTCTTTTTGTTCAAGTTGGTTTCTTAAGGTGATAGGCTTATATTCAGCACCAAATTTTCCTTTTGTCAAAGAAAGAACTCCGTTAAGGTGTTCTTCAGCCCCATACCCATATCCATTTTGAGTTAAATTACGCTTGTCATAGTCATAGACACACTTCCTCTCTGTTCCCGTATCCTTTCTTCTAGGAAAAGAAAAACCTAACACTATCCTGTAGATTTGTTTTTTCTCTTTCAAGAATGCAATGGAGAAAAGTTATTTCCATTGCCAAAACTTGATCAGATGAAGAAATGTAGTACAACATTTCACACATCTTCTAGAGCAGCATTGTGTTAGTAACTGAATTTTGTTTCTGTTGTAGTGTATGCATGTTATATATGTGTGTATATATATAAACATTATATAATACTATATATCAGATATATAGATTTTTCCCATTACCAAGCACTCTTCCTATAAGAATTTCCCACATACCAAAACATAAATAATGAAACTGCTATAAAGGAAAGAAAATGTATTACCCCTTCAGGATTATACTTTGAAAGCACACCATTACCATGGAATTCTTCAAGAACGTCCTTTAATTTCTTAGTAGAATCTATGAGAAATAGAAAACACACAAATGGTTTATTTATACATTGCAGCTCTTCAGTCCATTCTAGAAACAAAGCCCACTTAAAACTGAAACTTTAAATTTACAAATAACATGACTTACCACTTCTGAAATACTAGAAATTGTTGGACACAATCACAAAGAATAAAAACAGCAGGTTTGACTAAAGATATTAACTAAGAATGACATGAAAGTAAGTTTATTTTTAAAAGAAAACAATCACAGATGTTCTATGTTGAACTTTAAGATTTGCAGAATACATTTTTCATGTATCTTTGTATTAATTAACAATATCCTAACCTGATTTAAAAAGAAAGAGTAATTAAATGTATAGCTAATCCTCAATGATGAATCTATCCAGAGGTCAGCTACAAATTTTAGTATTTTTACATTTAGTAGATCTTCTTAGGGAAATGTTTTTAAATAAGTAAAACATTTACCACTAAAACTTATTTAAATTTGAATCCAATCTGATTTTTGCCTTTAACTTTAAAAAAAAAAAAAAGAATTTTTCAGTTGTTAGTTTTAAAGTTAGTCTATTCACATTTAAATTTACCACATATTTTCAAAGTTGTTCGTGAACAGCTTTCTCTGTCCTCCTTGCGTCTACATGACTTATATGTGTCATCTTTGTATCCCTTACAATGTCAAGCAGTTGCATAATTTCTATTTTCAGTAAACATATACCAAATGACCCTAATCTGTCTATTCGGTATGTTTCTCAGATTTTAAAACTGTATGTGTGGTAAGCATGTAAGTAGGAGGTGGAGTGAAGACAATGGCAGTATCAGATGAATCAAGATCCTGGACTGAAATTAAAGTGTAGTACTAGTAAGATACTAAGAAGAGGGGGGAGCTCTGGTAGTGTAGTGGTTATGAATCCAGCTGCTAGTCTTAAGGTCAGCAGTTCAAAACTCCTAGAAGTTTTGAGTGAGAAAGAGGAGACTTTCTGATCCCATAAAGATTTACAGCCTCGGAAACCCTATGCAGGGTCACTATGAGTGGGAACTGACTCCACAGCATAAAACCACAACAGCCACTGGAGGAGGAGTTGGTAGCTTTCTGTAAAGGACCAGGTAATAAATGTTTAGGCTTTGCAAATGAGATAGTCTCTGTTTTATCTATTCAACTTGGCCATTATAGCCAGAGGGGAGGCATAAATAATTTCAGTGGGTGTGAGTTTCAGTGAAATTATTTACATTAACATGTAGTTGTTTTTAAGTGCCACTGAGTTGGTTTAAACCAAGAAGTGGCTGGTGGGTTTGACTGCAAACTGGGAAGTTTGCAGTCCAGTTCTGCAGTGCAGTCCAGTCCTACAGTTCCACAATAGGACTTTAATAATAATACCAGGTAGCACGACAAATTTGGCTGATTGGCCATAAGAGTGTGGACCTTGCATCAGAATAATTAAGTGGTTTTTCACAAAATATTTGAAATAATTCATTCAGAGGTATTCATTTATTTGAGTGATAAAAATGAATACATAATGAACAAAATATTTAAAGCACTTGTCACATGACAGAAGTACCTTAAGTCTCAGCAATAGAACATAACTGCTAATTTTAAAATTAGACAATCAAAATTCCAATTTTTCTGGTTGTTTTAGGCAGAAGGGGAGGTCTACATTATCTTAATCAGAAGCAAAATTACTCTGTGTATATTTTAAAACCACATATTTCTCACTAATTTAATTCTTTTCTATTATTTCCATAGCTCTAATTACTGTCATCGGAGTCCTGGTGTGGTGTTGTGGATTAATGTCCTGGATTAGAAATTCATTTGAACTGCAGAGTTGGTGATTCAAATTCACCAGCCACTCCTAGGAAACCCTATACAGAGTCATTATGAGTTGCAACAAACTCGACAGCACTTAACAACAACAATTCCTGTCATGTTGGTATCACTTTCCACTTATTTTAATTGAATGGCATATGTAATCCTAGTCCTGGGATGATTGCTGAAGCTGTTGTTGCTTGGTGCAATTGAGTCGACTCTGATTAACAGCGGTTTTAACTTAACTTGGCTTCTTTCCATTCCAGGAATTTAACCAGTTTTTTTAAGAAAAGGGAATTGTGTGTGTATGTAGATGAAAACATGTATATACTTCTATAATGTTTTCCAATTCTATGAAAAAAAATTACAAATGAGCTTTTTGAACACTATTTAAAAAATAAAACATAAAAAACTCTCTCTTAACTCTCTCTTAAGTAATGATAAAGTACATGAGGTCTATATTTTGTAGAATTTATACATTCATGGGAGTCCTGATGTAGTGTTGTGGGTTAATGCTCCAGACTGCAAAGCTGTTTGAATTGCAAGGTTGGCGGTTCAAGCTCACCATCTGCTCCTTGGAAATCCTATACATGGTCGCTATTGGTCGGAACAGACTCCATGGCACTTCACAACAACAATACGTTCATGAGAACTATATAAAGTTCTTTCTTTATTTGGGTGAGCCCTGGTGGCATATGGATTATGAATTAGGCTGTTAGCTTCAGGGTCAATTGATTATTTTTACCAGTAGTTCTGGGGAGAAAGATGAGGCTTTCTGCTCCTGGAGAGATTCACAGTCTCAGAAAACCTATGCATGGTACTGTGAGTTAGAACCAACTCTATGACACACAACTTCTTTTATTTTGTAAATTCTGTGGGTTTGTTTTTATATTTTTAAAATGAGATAAAAATTCTCATAATGCAAATTTTACCACTTTACCCATTACAATATAAGCAATTAAGTTGTTTTACTGTACTACCCATTATAAAATAAATAAGTATGCTATTGTCAATATAAGGAGTTCTGGTAGCGCAGTGGTTACGAATCGGGCTGCTAACCTCAAGATCGGCAGTTCGAAACTACCAGTTGTTCCGCGGGCTTTCTGCTCCCGTAAAGATTTACAGCCTCGGAAACCCTGTACAGGGTCGCTGTGAGTCGGAACCGACTCCACGGCACACAACAACAATAACAACAAAGATTTGCAGCCTCGGAAACCCTATGAGTCAGAACAATGTGTCACTATGAGTCGGAACCCACTCCACAGTACTTAACAACAATAGCATTGTCAATATATATGCAATCATCACCAATAATTCTAGAAAAATTTCATCACCTCCAAAAGAATTTCCTGAATCCATTAAACAGTCACCCCTATTTTTCTTCCAAGGCCTCCCCCACCCCACACACCCCTGGCAATCACTTATCTACTTTCTCTCTAGATGGTTTTGCCTATCCTGAATGGCATTTCACAGAAAGGGAATCATAAAATATTTGACTTTTTGTGCCTGGCTTCTTTCACTTAGCATAATGCTTTCAAGTTCATCTGTTGTATTTTTGTATAAACACATCATTGTTCCTTTTATTGCTGAATAATATTCAATTGTAAGGATATACCACATTTTTTTTTTTTTTTAATCTCTTCAATCAGTTGATGAACCTAAAAAGGAGTGTCAAAAAGTTCTTGGGGGAAAAAAATCCACTATCTTTTGATTCCATTTTGGATATGAGTTGCTATTATGAAAATGCTGCCAGGAACATTCATGCCCAAGTTTTTGTACAAATCTATGTTTTCAATGTTCTTAAATATATGTCTCGGAGTGGAATTGCTGAGTCATGTTAGAACTGGAGCCCTGGTATGGTGTTGTAGGATAAGCACTTGACTGTTAATAGTAAGGTCTGCTTTTCAAACCCAACAGTCACTGCTCAGAAAACCCTATACGAGGTTGCTATGAGTTGGAACAGACTAAATGGTACTTAGCAACAACAAATGTTAACTTTATGTTTAATCTTTTAATGAATTGCTGAACTGATTTATTCAGTGACTGCATATTTCTTTATCCTTATCAAGGCTGTGTAGAGGTTGAAATACCTCTATGCCTTTTATAATACTTGTTAGTTTGTTTTGTTAATTTTTATTATTTGTTGTTGTTGTTATGTGCCATCGAGTGGGTACCGACCCATAGCGACTTTATGCACAGCAGAACGAAACACTGCCCGATCCTGGGCCAACCTCACTACTGTTGCCACGCTTGAGTCCATCGATGCTTCCACTTAGCCAATCCATCTCGTTGGGGGTATAGCCATCCTATAATTCTTGAGGGAGTCCTAGTGTGGCATTGTGGGTTAATACACCAGACTGCAAAGCCGTTTGAACTGCAAGGTCAGCAGTTCAAGATCACCAGCTGCTCCTCAGAAACCCTATAAAGAGTCACTATGGGTCGGAATTGACTCGACCGCACCTAACAACACCAACATAATTCTTGAAGTGGATTTACTTTGCATATCTCTAAGATGCTGACCATTTACATCATGAGCTTTATGGCCATTGGTGTATCTTCATTAGAAAAATGTTTAAAAACTTAGTCCAATAAAAAAAAAAAAAATTAAGTGTGTTTTCTTGAAGTCTGTATTATTTCTGTGGTAGAGGAAAAAAGGATCTCATTTTCAAACATATACATGTTATGTTGTTGCTGTTAAGTGTCATCTAGTCAGTTCTGACTCATATCAACCCTGCATAGGGTTTCTATGAAACAGCTGGTAAGTTTGAACCTTTCACCTTGTGGTTCAAACTAACCTTGCAGTCCAGTGCTTATTCATACCACGACCCCTAGAAACTCTATTAAATTTTAAACAGGAATAAAGACAGCAGAAAACAAACATAGATCATCCCTGTTCAGGAAATCATCAATATGACACGATAATGAAATCCAAAGTTCTCCCTCACATGGAAACCTTTTATAGAGCACAGAGAAGAAAAGAATCTCTTCCCACAACCACAAGTAATGGCAATAATGCACCAGATCTGCAGAACAGGTTTACAAATGCAGGGAGGGGATGAATGCAGATAGGAAGGCTTTAGAAGATTGCCTCTGCGTGTCTCTGGGTTACAACATAACAACTAGGAAACCCCAATAGCCATGAAGGGACATGCCCAGAAAAAGCCCTGTGAGGGAGTTTCTGTTCTTCCTGAACTGGCTGAAGGAAGCAGCCC